GCCCCTGACGGGATTCGAACCCACGACCTTACGGTTGCGAGTCCGAGAGCCTAACCACTAGGCCACCGACGCCACTGATTTGTATATTTTAAACAACAAAACAAAAACGAGCACCAAAAAGAGAAAAAAGGAAACGAAAGAACAAACAAACAAACAAACGAACAAAAAGTGGTGATTTGTGGACTTCGACTAATGAATGCAAACTTTAAAAAACCAAACTTTCTTCCGCACCGTGCACCTTGGACCTACCCCTTTGTCAAGGCACCAAAGACCGATACTTCTCCTTTTTTTTCTATTACACAGTGCGGACTTTTCTTTTCTTGGCTGAATCCCTCAAAGTCAAAGGTTTCTGGAATGCTAGATAGGCCTTGTAAGCAAGATCGGACAAAAATATTATGTGTCACGACATGGTAGGATCAGGCGCTGGTCAGTTTTTTTGGACATCTGGTGTTATTAGTATCATCTTAAAGCCTGTTCGAGCGTTCCTTTGATCGTTTTTCAATGGAAAAAATACTCGCGTATCTTGAATAGAAGTCAAAATAATTGTGATTGAAAAAGGGCGGGGTCGCCTGGTTTCAGAGGTAAAGTTAGCGAGAAAATGGCCGCTAAAAATTGGTGATTTCCAAAGCTTTAGATTTGGAAACTGAAAATTTACATTTGTCGTGCCTTTAATTAATATTTTTCAGTAAAATCCACTTAGAAATATGTTTTTTAAAAGACATAAAAGGTTTTGAGCTAAAAAAAAAAAAAAAAAAAAACAATTTTTAAAAATGGTCAATCAGGAAGGAAAATGCCAATATCTTCGATTTCGTTGTTTTGACAAGCGCCTGATTTCTCCTCGATGCTTCACATAATATCTTATTTCTAAGGGCTCTTATGCTTCCACACAAAAATGCCGTACCATGGGTTCCGCAGGGCGTGCCTTTACGACAAAGTAGTGGAGTGTCTTTGCTTACACCTGGCAAAGATGTTTAATTAACTAACCCCTTCGCTGCTTCAGAATTGCAAAGTTCTATCTGATATTCTGGACCATTTTGAGTTACTGACACCACGAGTCCAGAAACAGAAAATGGCGGTTCCGTATGCTCTGTCAAAATCGTACAATAATTCGGAGTCGTTTTCAAAAATGTTGAGAGGAAGTGCATTTGAAAAACGCTTGACTTGTGGGAACTCTAAATTGTTTTATGTCAAATTTCTCAATAGTAGGCACTGAGCAGATATAACTTTGTAAATCTAAGGTAGTAACTTCACTGCCAAGCCCCAGACTGTCTCTGTCTCCTAGGTGGAGGAAATGAGACTTAGAATAAAACAAAGAGTGCACTTCTGTTTTTGTTGGGTTTTTTTTCGCAAAACATGCATCACCGTTTTACACATGTTCAGAGCCATAATAATAATTAAATGACATTTATATAATGCTCAACCTCCATTAAAAT